CGTCCAGCACGCTGGACACCTGGCGGGCGCTGCTGCTCTTCCTCATCCTGGGTAAGCCCCCTCCCTGCCCGCCCCCTCCCACCAGCCCCCTCTCCCAGCAGTCTCCCTAACTCCCCTCTTCTCTGCAGCATGCCGAGCTGGGGCCCCCGCCCTGGGAGACACTTCTGGACCTCAGCAAACCAATTTCTCCTTGGGCTCAGAAGGCTCTTCCCAGGGCCTCGGTTCGATAGTCCCCTCCAGCAACACCCCCAGCTGGAAGCTTCCAGATCATTCTCCAGGTTCAAAAGCCCCTGTCGAAATCCCCGATTCCAGCTGGTTTCCAGAGGCCCTGAATTCAAACCATGTGTCTGGGGCCCTCTGGTCAGATGACTCTGTTGAGGGCCAAATTTTGGGGCTGGATCCCACTTTGGAGCCGCCTGGTTATGAAAGGCCTCCTGAGAGCTCAGATTCTCAGGCTCCTGCCAAGGACCCCAAGATGTCCTTCTCTGTTGAGACCCCAACCTCAAACACTGCTGCTGCCCCTGACACCAAACCTGCTCAGGGCTCCGGTTCCAAATTCTCCCCTGAGGATCTCGGTCTTGAACTCTCCGCCCAGAGCCCGGAACCCAAAGTTGTGGAGACCCACCCTGCTGCAAGCTTTCCTGAGCAAGCTGGGGGCCCCCTTGCTGTGCTGGTGGGGACCACTATCCGGCTCCCCCTGGTTCCGGTCCCCAGCCCTGGCCCCCCAGCCCCTCTGGTGGTCTGGCGCAGGGGCTCCAAGGTGCTGGCAGCTGGGGGCCTGGGGCCAGGGGCTCCCCTGATCAGCCTGGACCCTGCTCACCGGGATCGCCTGCGATTTGACCAGACCCGAGGCAGTCTGGAACTCACCTCTGCCCAGCTAAAGGATGCAGGGGTCTACACGGCAGAGGTCATCCGGGCCGGGGTGTCCCGGCAGCTGCGGGAGTTCACGGTGGGTGTGTACGGTAAGTGGGCCCTGAAGTCCACAGCGCAGGCTGCAGGGGCCGCTCTGCCCTGGGAGACCTGTGGGCAAGTCACTGCGCTGAGAGGTGCTTCCTTCCCCTGGAAGGTGTCCCTGGACGGGGGAGAGAGGACTTCTAGGCAGGGCTAGGGAGAGGGGGGGCTAGGGGCCAAGACAGGGGTGCTTGAGGGCAGCTGGGCCTGGGATCGAAGTTCTGGGGGCCAGTTCGGGCAAGGGGTGGCTGGGCCTGAACTGGATCAGGGGCAAGAGGAGCTGGGAGGCTCTTGCCTTTTAGGGTTAAGAGACAAATCCTGGGGCCCAAAATCCTGGGTAGAAGGGAGGAGGGGACCAAGGGCCAGGCTCCCGGACTTGGTCTAAGCCCACTCCCCCTCCCCAGAGCCCCCGCCCCAGCTGTCTGTACACCCAGAGGCTCCAGAGACAGAGGAGGGGGCAGCCGAGCTCCGGCTGCGCTGCGTGGGGTGGGACCCGGGTCGCGGGGAGCTGAACTGGAGCGGGACGGACTTGCCGTGGAGGGGGCGGACCCGGAGGGAGCCGAGCAGCCCCGGATCCGCGCAGAGGGCGACGAGCTGCTCATCGTGCGCCCTGTCCGCAGCGACCACGCCCGATACACCTGCCGCGTCCGCAGCCCTTTCGGCCACGCGGAGGCTGCGGCCGACGTCAGCGTCTTCTGTGAGTAGGAGCATGCTTCGAGACCAGGTTGGGGTCTGGAGACCCTTAAAGCCCAGTCTCCAGGAGGAGAATGGGGAATGACCCAAATCCCGGGGGACCGACGCCTTCCTCTTCCCCAGACGGCCCAGACCAGCCTGTCATCACGGTCTTCTCGGACCGCGACGCCGCCCCAGTCTTCTATGTCACCGCGG